GTATCCCAATGTATAGATGTTTTATGTTTGATGTATTATACTTTATGTTTTATTTGTATATTATGTTGTAAAATTGTTACTCCATGTTATATTTCATTACCATTACTGTATGTATACATTTTCTCTATTTGTAACATGCTAATAAATGAAATGATATGAAAAAAATATTTGATGAGCTCTAATAAATTGTGTCATGAGCGAACTCCTGACCTTTTGTTTTCATCAAAAAACCTTCTGTTTTACGAAAGCAGAACAGTTTGTTGATTTTTGCAAACAGAATCATTTGATCATAAATTTGGAAAAAACAGTTGCGATCGAATTCACTGGTCAGTATGTTAAACCTCTGACTAACCTAACGTTCAGCTTTGCGGGTTCACGCGTGGAATTAAACCACACAACAAAGTTTCTCGGATCTTACATCGATGCGTTCCTAAAGTGGGACTACGACATAGATAGTCTTTGTAATAAACTGAACAAAGCGTTTTTTGCAATGTTAACAATCAGAGATTCTTTCTTTGAAAGATCCTTGTTGACTTTCTATTACGCCTCAGCATACTCGTCTATTTCATATAATATCGTAAACTGGGGACAAGCGAGTGATGCGGAGAGGGTGTTCATTCAGCAAAAAAGGATACTTAGGTTGATTTTCAGACTGCCCTCGAGGCTATCCTGCAAAGATATATTTATAAAGAATAAAATACTAATAGTGCCTTGCATATATTTATTTAAATTATTCATCATCGTTCACAAAAATAAAGGCTCTCACAAGGAACACACGGATGTCCACCGTCATAACACCCGAAACAGAGAACACCTTATAAAGCCCAGACTGAACCACATGTTCTACAAAAAGTCGCTAAATTACGCAGGACCTTATTACTATAATTTGCTTCCTACAAGCATAAAAGCATTATCTACAAGACAATTTAAAAAGTGCATCAGAAAGCTTCTGTCAACCAATGCTTTCTACAACCTGAAAGAATTTGAAACATATATTACAGGAGTGCCCTGATGAGTTTAGTGATATTTTCTGTACATTTTGTCAATATGTTTGTACTATTTGTATATCCGTTTGTAACTGTTCTATACTGTACTGTTAAATGTGTGTTATCGTATTGTTTATATACATAATTCCATGTATCTTTATACTACTCTATAATATACTCGTTTCCTGACGAAACATCCACTGTATGCATACTTGGCTTTGTGAATAAAACTATATATCTATCTATCTATTAATAATCGCAAGCTATCAATTTAATAATTTGGAATACTTCTCTAAAATCATCTTCAAAAATACGTCGTGATAATAACAAAACATATGCTCCGAATCTGAAATCTGTACTAAAAATAGGTTGAAATTCTTGTGCATCGTAATAAGTTAACAATTAATTTAAAGTTATAAAATGGGAATTTTAATTAAATATTGACTAATATCTAAAATAAATGTAACAGGTAAAATTATTGTATTTTCTAACAATTCGGGTCTTATCCACAAAATTTATTTTCTCCATTCAATAAGGAAGTTTTCCAACAACGTGTTTTGATAATGTAAAAGTTATTATGCATCGTCATCATTAAGTGTGCTTTCATTCAAAATTAGTCGCCTCTATATAATTTAATTTCCATAAAAACTATTTCATATGTCTAATTTAAACTGAACAATGCGAATTTCAATATTTAGTGAAAATGTTGAACAAATCTTATTTATGAAGAATCTCTAAAAACCATAAAAGCATTCTCGGTTCACATTTTATCTAAAAAATGGAGATATCGGGATTTCAGTGAACGCTCCTCAATTTAGTTGATTCATATTGTAATTTATGTATGATCAACTCTTGCAAAGAAACTACTAATATTGGTTACAGTTCTTCATAAGTTTTTTGGGAGTTTGATGACACATAAAAGTTCAAAAATCGATATAGAAACCAAAATATAGCCTTTTATTCGGAACAACTTCTAAGAAAATGAATTCTTTATAACTATGAAATAATATTACTTTTCCGCATTTTCCTAGATAGAAATAACCGTTTGAAAACAAAACTCGTTCAACAATTTAAATTCATCGCGTTCGTTTCAACGCGAACCATCTATAAGTTTAATTTAGTTTTCTTCGGTAACAGTTACCCTCGGGTACTTCTGCTTGTTTAGCTTTTGATCGCAATCGCAAAGAAATTACACCAAATGTATAAATGACGAGCGTGGAAATCATTTTCGTGCCACAAAACAGACCCGGGGTGTAGAATTAATGGCCCAATCAAACGTTATTTTAAAAGCTTTAGCGTTAAGTTTTGGGTCTTTAATCTATTTTGTTATCGATGAAATGTATACCTTACGGGTTGTTCGGCGTATTATCCATTCCCGACACGTAATTTGTAGATACCGACACTAAAAATATTATTTTCTCGTTAAATATAAACGTTATTTTCTTAGGACATGCTCGACTACGCCAATGGATATTAAAATCATTTTGTGCAGATTTGTACTAAAACGCTAAATCGAAATTACTTTTGAAATAGAAGTAGGTACAAGTAGCTTTCAGCCTAGATCCCACATCTTATTTATATAACTTTATTTTTAAATTATTTTCACTATCCAAGAATCATGGTCAAAGTTCAATCTAATACGACAGCATATCTGAGACTTAGGCGATAAACAAAAGGAAACAATGAGATGTATAATAGACATTGCATGTTATAATTAGTGACTAACATTGGAAAAGAGGAGATATAAAGAATAGAGAGAACAAGGAGAGGGAGTGAGTCAATGTATTGATGATGAAAAACGCAAAATAAAATTAATTAATTTTGCAAACACCATTTTACCTGTGAACGCGCACATCGCGTGCCTAACAGTTATCGATTGTTTGAATTAACTGCCGAAGAGTTTCATATTGGTATGCATCAGGATGATATGGTAATCGTTGTGATAATTGATAGGGTCAGGCGCAAGCAAAGCGGAAAATGAATGCTTGAGAAATTTTCAAATGACTCAGAAGTCTAACGACTTTCTAAAGTTACAACACAAAAGCAGCTGATAAGAAACTTTATTTAATCAATGAGGTAGGTTTTTCGTTGTGTTATTTTGTTTCTCCATAACTAAACCCTGCAATGTGGGAATAGTAAATAATTGAAGAAAATATAAGAAGCCAACGTTTTGAGAGGTAGCAAAGCTTGCCTAGATACGTATGCTGTTTTATTCGCAAAATAAACTAAAGATTTTATTGTGTTCACCCATCTTTTAACTTAGATTAAAGTCTTTTGAAAAGTTTAACCACATTGACCACGAGGATCGGCTCTTTATCTTACGCGACAGTCTAAACAGTAATTTATCTAACTAGAAAATTGACTCATTCGGTCTTGCCGACAGCCGAGTTTTATGTTTTTTAGCTTCTTAAATTTCTAAACAGGCTATAGGCAGCCACTTAATCCCCGCAGGCTTTAGACTTTGACTTTCAATCTAAAGTCCCTGCTCCTGCGATGGGTTCTAAAACAGTGGGCTCGCCTTAAAGTGCCTGCCTCGGATTAAGCAGTTTATCCTAGTAGATAGTCCTTACTTTAGCTATCTGTATTTAACAGAAGCTCGGGGATTTTCGAAAAGTTACTGTCGTGTACGCTGGTAATAGGGTAAGCGCCAGGTTTCGATTGTATGCGCGGTCAACGGTTATTCCTTACAAATAAATCACCACACGGGACCGATGCATTTTTTTCTTAATAAAATCATCTAATTTAAGGCAGCGTTCGATCGCATTTTCCTACTTCAGATGTTTCAATTTTCAAAATAGATAAGAACCTAAACTTCAGATTTTTACGAACTTATATATATTCACATGACAATTTGTTGAAACAATTGTTATGTGAATATATATAATTTCGTGAAAATCGGAACTTTGAGTTCTTATTTATCTTGAGAAATGGATTTTCATCAATTAAAAGCCGCCTACCTGAGTTCGATGTTTCAATTTTGTTCATTTAAGTGGTTTTGAAGAAGATTTAGAAATGTGCTGTTGCTTGTTCTGACCAAGATTTCGTCTCTTCATCTGGATTGCCATTTTCGTTCATTGTATTTCCTAATTATTTAAGGCTTACATAATTCACGTTAATGCATTCCTCTTGCAGGGTCAACAGAAAATTAAAAATTTTCCCCAACAAATGTAATAAATTGTAGAGGTTTCAGTTTAGTGTTTAGAACCAATATTAATATGTAAATGGAGGAAAAAGTTTCAATATGTATTAATTGTAAGAAACATAAAGGACTGCTGTTAGAGACTGCCTTCATTACTCATTAAAATTCAAATGGGTTCAAATTGAAACTCTGACAGCTGTTTTAACATATTATACGATATTACCTATTATTCTGTACCCTGGATTTGTGTCACTACTAAGGCAAGACTTAATCTTGTTTTATTAACTTGAAACAGATCTGAAGATCTGAAGAAGAATTGACTACATGCAAGAATTTTAGTGTGATCGGCTTTCGGCAACTCCTAATGAGTTTATTTGTCTCAGTATTAAGGCTCTTGCATGTTCTTTTAGGCTAGTTGAAATTTTTCGTCCTATGTTTCCAGTGTATTCTTCGCCACATATCCATGGAGTGCTGTAATTCTGCATTCTGTCAAGAAAAATCCCAGAATCTATAGAAATCTCTAAACAATCAAACAATCTTACCCGCGATCTTTAGTTTCAGTTAAGTTCTGAAGAAGCCAAAGGATAATTGCCGAAAAATCAGCAAGTTGATGTAACATCAACACCCGACGCAGGAAGAATTCAGAAGATTTGTAAAGAATATAAGCAGAATTTACTTCTTTTTTTTTTTCAAACACCACCAGCAAAAAAAAAAACTTTATTTATCAAAAGTCGCTGTACGTATTGGTCTAGATTCAAACCCTTCTTAAAGTAAATCGTGTATATTCGTGCTCTCCTTGAGGGAAAAATAAAACTTATTCAAATGTTTTTGGTGTCTGATATTCGTTTCGGTAATGGTGCATCTCTCTCTTTCAGATCGACTCGTCCGTTTGGATATTCCCATCTGAAGAAGAGAAAAACAGACAATACGATCGGTATGGCCGCGGTGGCGAAAAGTTTTACAAAGCTTGAAACGCTGGACGATAAACGCAGGAAAAAGTCGGACGAGACTGCGGCGAAACCTTTGCTCCTGCCGCAGAAGAAGCGGGTTCTGCCCGCATCTTCCGCCAGCAGTCCCGCAAAGAAAAGTCAAAAACTGTCGCCTATGGTCAACGTGGCGGAGACGGAGGCGGCAGACGACGAAACTCTAATTAGAGAGACCGAAGCGGCTCTAAAAAATTTAGGTAGCTGGCCGGGACCAAGGGGTTCTTACAATTCTCAGAACGAAGAATCTCCGGCGTTCGAAAATCTATTCGACGAGAAGAAAGCCAGCGTGAAAATGTCGCCTTCATCGGCTTCCAATAGCAGTACCGACAACGCGTGTTCGCTAAAAGACGTAATAACACTTAGAGAAGAGGAAAAGTCTGACAATACCAAATGCAAGAGCGTTAGAGTGAAACAAGAAATTACCGACGATGACGGAGACAGGAGGAAAAACGAATATCATCCGCCCGATTTCAACGAGCTCGTAGACGATTCTTCGAACGAATTGGAAATCGATATGTCGGAAGCGGCGTCCGAGAAAAACGAATTTAGTGATAAATCGGACCATTCTGGTGAAAAACACAAGAGGAAACAAGACGAGCGTCAGTCGAAATATACGGAATCGAGCTTTTCTACATTTTCTAGGTCAATTAACCCTTCGACTTCGCCGTTCTCCTCGACGTCGGCGTTTCGACCGCCTCAGCCCAGTAAAAACTTGACAAATCTGGGACCATATCCGGCAGAAGCAACCTTTGTCGGCTATCCATCGATGGATCAAACGGGGCCAGTCGATGATAAGCCTAAAAATATCTTAAAACCCATCGAAACAGCCACTGAAGCCCCGTCAGCTAAATCACCAGATGCGGCTAATAAACAATACACGATTCTTCAGCCCGCCAATATCCGATCGAGAGCCGCTAATGTCCTGCAAGAGGTAGCGAGGGAAGGGGTTCCAACTGTTGCGGCCGTGGAAAGTTCGTCTGTTGAGTCTTCGAAGTCCGGCACTCCTACCGGATCACTTTCACCGAATAGTATAGGCAGAGGTATGTAAACAGTGCGGCATTCATCTGTGACTGCTATTTCCCAAATGCTGGCATAGTTTAGAGCATGTTTTTTGTAATTCAAGGTTGCACCTTCCACTTAAATTAGTGTCCAGATAGTTGGTCCTTTATTTAGTGCTAGGCGGCTCAATTACTCTAAAGAAATCACGTAATTGCACGAGATCCGTCCTGTTTTATTGATTTGATCAATTGTTTTTCTTGGGTTATAAGTTTAGGAATATCATTTATAAAAAACAAAATTTGGTTAAGTTTGACTGGTTCAGTACGTAGCTTAATATCGTAATTTTACCAAATATTTATCCTCTTACCAATTTTAAACAGAAAAATGTTAATTTCTGTAGGAACCATTCACGGAGATTGATATCAACATGTAAAACTTTTTTTTGCAGACAAAAATCTGATAGGTCAACTTTTCTATTTGATTTACTTGCCTTGTTATGCTCTGTCCATATGTTAAAATATATTTTAAAAATTTTGATATGCGGTGTTGTGGTTTTGCAATTTTATAATCCGGCCTTGTTCCCATTCCGATTCTGTTTTTCACTTTCATTAAACCGACATGAGACTGAGTCAGTAAAACACTTTCACCAAATTTTGTTTTTTATAAATGTAGGTTCTAAACTTATAGACGAAGACGAAAACTAATAAAATCAATAAAAGATCCTACGGTAAGTATCGTGGAATGTATATACAGATACCATATAGCTATTACATAATATAATGGCCCTACTACCATAAAAAGTAACCTCAAAACCTCAAAATTTCCCCCACTAACCTGCCATTTTTCCCAAAGCATTTAACGACATCTAGGCATATTTTGAAAAAATACTGCCGCAAAAATGCTCTATACAAAGTTGGTATACATGTTGGTTAATGAAACCGCATGGTCATTGGTTAAAACGAGTGTTTAAATCCCGCGCATGCGAACATGGATCTTCTAAATTTTTATTTCATAGTTGCTTCATAAGTATTGAGTATTATCGGCATATGCAGGGCCTTTAGTACCTATGTAACAGATACAGTATCTACACCTTGTATATTATACAAAATTTTCTCTTTATTTCTAAAAAATTTACCTCCCCTGTCTAACTTAGTGTAATTCTCAGCAAATCCAGTAACGTACTTCAATAGGGAAATTGACAAGTGTCTAAAACAACTACATTTTGAGGATTCTATTGTTTGTTATTGCAATGTAGGTGTAATTTTATCCAGTTGTTTCATAAAATAGTCCACAAACAGACCAATTCTAAGTCTAAATGCTAAAATTACAGTTTAAGGAGGAGGTAGCCTGAAAGTAGACTCCATTAAGTATAGTAATGATTATCAGTTAATGTTCTTTAGACACATTTTGAGTATAGCTAGTTGTACTATACTTAAGTCACAAAAGAAAGATGCAGATTTCGGGAACATTATTAAACATTTTAATTTAAAAAGAGAAAATAACTCTGTGTGTGTTATGAAGGATTGTTATGTCGAATAAATGACGCCGTGACAGACCAAAAAATGACCATATACAAAAAATTAAATTTACAATTAACGGTATACATAGAACAGCCATCGCGTTGTTCTGTGTATGTTATCGTACGAGAAATATTACAAATAAACTAGGTATAAATTATTATCCCGGCGAACAACGGCGGAAGACTATAATTACGTAATGAACGGAAGCTCCCGTAACTTCCTTTCATCACGGAGGGACGTTGCGACGTGTCGGCAGTTGGCATGAAATACCCGCGACATCGTTTAATCCGTATTTATTGGGCTTGGATGCAATAATTGTTGTCATTAGCGGCAAATTGTCCCCCCAAAATACATAAAAATCGCTGGTTTCGTGATTAGGTTTCCGTTGCTTCGTTTTCTGCAGTAATCTTGTAGACATCATAGGCCGAATTTGGCATTTCATAAATAGCCATTTTTGATAACTCAATAATATCTTAATTTGATTCGACGCAGTGTACTACAATGTTGAAGCTATGGAAACAGTTCATGTATGTGCAGAAAAAATTATGTTAAGTGTTCACGGTACGCAATAAGGTCCGTGTTCTAACAATTCTCCGCCAATAGAAAACTACTCATCTACCACTCGTCGAAAAAATGTGTTCTAAGATATAACGATTTTAGCTACATTGTTGTTTTTCAGGAAAAATCTATTTTATCAAATTAAATTTAGATAACGAATTTACCAAACCATCAACAGCTCACAACCACAGCTTCCAAAATCAATGATTTGTTGCAAATGTTATACCGTAGCCGTGGCCTTAACTCCTTAGAAATTTAAACTTATCTAACATAATCCTGACAAGCGTAAAATAATTAAAAACAACATTGACCAAGCGTTAAAGGAACGTTTTTCTATGAGATTTAGAATTATAATTTAAAGCTCATCAGAAATTAATACTGAAACTTCGAGTTTTTGGTAAACAAATCTTATAGCGTTAGTGGATCAAGTAATAAGATTGATAATAGGGGAACAAATGTTAGAAATGTTAGAATTTTAAGGATGGATTCAGTACGCGTGAATATAGATGGTTAAGTTTATGAAACATACGGACAACAATCTCTGTAGTCTATGTTGATATACAGGTGTGTCTTTAAAATGTATTCATCAAATACTGTCACGAGCCACGGACCCTTTACTCACGGTTAGGAGCGGACGTATATTTTGGGTAGATTTAAAACTTCGATGTCAATTCCGATGAACACGACATACGTCACAAAGTGAATGTATTGGTGCTTTTTTACAGAAATGTACCCCAAAATCTAATGGTCGTAGAAAAGGTATTATATACAACACGGAGTGTACCTACCTTCTCGTGATATTTTCTACCATCCTATCTCTCTTCTGCCTTCAAACTTCTCTCGATATGCACTAGCTGTTTTGTTCCTCTGCAATAGAGCCACATCTCGAGAGCCTCTAATATCTAAAATTTAGAGATCATGTAGCTCTGAAAGTTGCATTCAAAAACATTTTGCAGTTATAAAAGCATTCCTCTGTAAATATATGTTTAAAAATTTTTTTTTGAAACCTAAGCGGGGAACAGTTGTTTTTAAGAGTTACTGGTATTTTATTATACAACTTGACAAGTACTGATAGATGCAAATTGAATTGACAGTTAGTATTCTCTTTTTTTTTTAATATTGGCTTACAGTGATCCTTACTTTGTGCACCACATTAAGTTCAAACAATGTTTTTTTTAGATTTTAAAAATTCTCTCTCTCTCTCTCTCTGAAAAGTCTCCCCACAACAGTATACTACATGATTTCACGTTAATGAAATTTCAAAAAATTCAAAAGTTGTGAGTTGAATAAATGTTCTATTCTGAAGTGTAGCTTTGTTTAATATGCCGGAAAGCATATCTATATGTACGTGCCAGTTAAGTTTACTATTTATGTACACACCCAGAAGTTTAGCCTTGTGAGAATTAAGATCGGGTGCACCCGAAAAACGGCAACTTATGATTTATTTTCATTTAATTTAAAACGATTCGAATGAAACCACTCTTCTGTATTAACAATGAGTACTTACAAATACTGCGTCATTTAAAATTCTATCCAAATTAAGTATTGTTGTGTCAAGTGCAGATAAAGACCCTATATGTAATCTTATATTTGAGGGTAAGTCGTATTAGGGAAAAAATAGGACTCTGCATTGAGCCTCCTAAATGAGCAAATTGTGGTTCAAAAACATCACCGTTTTTTGTCAGTTGTTAAGGTTGGATTTTACAGTAAGGTTTGGCCCCTTATACTGTAAAATCCAAGCTTGTTTACAACAAACTCATGGCTAATGCAATGAAAAGCCTTCGAAAGATCCAACAAGGTCATACATACCTTACCATCAATAGCCTCCAAAACCTTTTCCAGAATCGCTGATTTGCCCGAACTGGCTCTCTTCAAAAACTTTATTTTTTATCAAAATACGATTCAATTCTTTCTTTTAACAAAGCCTCGAAGATTTTCAAAAATACAGGCAGGACAGCAATAGGACGAAATATGTCTGCAGTCTCACAAATAAAATATTTCGGTATTGGAACTATCTTTGAAAATTTTAGCGCCTACATTGTGTTCGGATATTTTTTTCTTCATTTTTTGTGTGTAGTTCTTATTGCCCAGTCAGGAACGTTTCAAGATATGTCATTCTTAATTTGCGTGCATATTTGATGGAACGGTTAAATAAACAAGTTTGTCTAAGAAAATACTAATAATTTTTCCTCACTCGGAAAATTTCCACGCACGTTTCTCATCACCGCGCCAAACTGATTATCGCTCGTATATTTACGCGACTTCCAAAGTCCGTGGGCAACGTCTAATAATAATTGGTACCGAAAATTCCGTTCCGCATGCACGTAACTGTCACCTGGGTTCGCGGACAGCCATCCACCGTATTATGGGTTTACTTGATACAAGTTATAAGCTAGCATGTCAACGTGGAAGACGTGACGAGCCTTGGAACGGGCTTTTTACCATCCGGTCCTCCCCTCCTTCGAACTTACGGAACACCCCTGCAAGACGTTGCTTACAACCCTTTTTTATGCCTTAATCGTAGTTTAATGTATCTTGCTATGAATGTTGATTCAAGTCGCGTCCAAATTGCTTTTTTTTTTGTAGAGGGTAGAGGGAGAGGGTAACGCGGGCGCCCTAGAAAAAAAATGGAAAAACGTCAAGGCTTGTGGATAGCTTAGAATTTCTGACCAAGCGATTTCACAGATGTGATAAGTTTTGCATAAGTTGCGAAAGCGCAGACAACGAAAGAGCCCAGATGTCCGTATGTTTCAAATGTTTTATTATCTTTTAAAAATTTACAAACGATTACAAATCTCTAAGATGCAAAAAAAACGTAAAACACTCAGAATTTAATATTTTATTTATTAATTTCAATTTCATTATAATCCTTTTTTTATTGGATAGACCTGTTTAAATTTTTATTTATAATTATGGAAATAGGTATTAATTAGAATATTTCACATTCAAGGTATTTATGATTT